CCTAAAATCAATAATAATAATAATAATATAAATATTAACAATAAATATTAATTCAATAAATACATTTATTATTATTTAAATTAATTAATTAATCAATTAAAAATAAATGTAAACAAACAAATAAATGGTGACTAGTAACAAGACCTAATTGACCATATGCACGGAGCGTTCTTTAGAACTTCCGCATAAAGATAAGCCAGCTCGTAAACCTCCGGTGAAGCCTCATTTGGTGTTGTGGTATATATAGGTAGAGACTCTTGAGACCCTCACAGAAACCTCTCCTGCCTTGTTCTTGTCAGAAACTAAGAAACAAAATAATTGCAACACCGTAAATAATGATAGTGGTACATACAGTTTCATGTTATTTAACAACATATCATTTTATATGCCAAGCCTGGTAATCCCGGGAGAGTACCTACCTACACATAATTGTACATTAAATGCTGACAACTAAACACAATCGTAACTGTTTATGCTAACGTTAGCTAGCTAGCGATTAGGCCTGTCGCAATAATCAATATATCGACTTATCGCGCAATATATGTACATGACCTCAATCATTTTTGGTGACGCAATATATCGCCCATTATATTTACTTAAAAATTAATGTCACCATGTTTTGTACATTCATTTTGCGCCTGTGTCTTTTGCAGCTTCTCTATAGTTTGTTGTCATTTGGAAGTGTGTGGGCCTTCTTGCATTATTATGCCGTTACATTATGATTATATATTCAGTGGCATAAAATGGTCTTTAAAATGACAATAATATCGCTTATCGCAATTATTTCTGGGGCAATATATCGCACAACAAAAAGTTGTTATCGTGACAGGCCTACTAGCGATGCTATCTCGTAAACAGCATCATAATGGTATTCTTGATCATCGATAACTTAGCTTCATAGTCATGAACACATTTTTAAAACACATAATATTTTAAAGCCTTTCTTATTTCTCAACTCTACAGTGGTGCAGTAAAAATCACTTTAAAGATTCACTTTTCATTCATAAAGATGACATGAAAAAATGTGCCAAAAATGTCTCCTGGCAGAAAACAAAGACTTTTAAGATGAAATTGACATGAACATAGCATTATAAGCAGTAAATGACAGCAGAGGATCACTCATTAGCTCAGTTGCCATTTCAACACCCTAGTTTTTTCACGTCTTGCTTTTGGATTTATTATGAAATGACTATTATAACAAATTTGTTTAATCAAATTAATCCTCACAAATTAATCATCATTATTGTGCACTGAAAATTATTATTATGATTTTACTACATCTATCTTTTCTGTATTAATGAGTTTGAATTGCTTTAGTTAATAAAATGACTCATGCAAGATAATCTGCCTGCTAATCTGATTTCATGCATTGACCTACTACAGAAGTCTAGTGGCTTGGATTGATACAAAAGCATTTTATAAACAGAAAGCGTTTTATAGCTTCCAGCTGAAGCCCCTTGCTGACACCCCAAGTGTGAGATCAGTCTAGTCTAGGTGCTTTTTTTAGCCTGATTTCTTCCCAGATCTTCTTACTACATGACAAAGACTGCGTCCTCTATTTAGAGCCGTGCAGAAAAGATTAGAGTGGAAGGAAGTATACAGAACCGGTACGAGCTTTAAATAAACTATAATTCTAACAATCAGGATTAATGGCTGAGCTTTGCTGCATGTTTGTGTTGACAGGAAGCTGCAGGGGAAAAGGAAGAGAGGAAAAGGTTGTGCAAAGGTGCTGAGAACACATTCAAAACGGAGTTGAAAATAAAGAAAACGATAAGAAGTCTATTTAGGTCTAAAACAATTCATATACATCCCAGTCGAGGTTTATTTTAGGATGGCATATCAGGAAGAAACGTCTCAGTCACTCAAAAAACGGACTTCAACATCTCACTTCATGTTTCATTTGCAGCCTCTGATCAACATCACACGACTTATCTATTTACACTTGTCTATATATTAGAATGCTGAACGTACAAAATGAGGTATTTAATAAATTAAGGATTTATTGATTTTACATATAGGCTACTCATAAATCTAACTGTAAAATGAATATCCTGCTTTTCCATAGATAACGAGAAGGAAATCCTGTGGTCTTTTTTTAGGTAACTGTGATGAAAACAAACAAGAATCACTACAAATTCTAAAATAAACGTAATTGTATGTATGTAATATTAGCCTTTGCATAGTCTTTGTGTAAAGCTATATAATCTATATCACATATATAAAATATCTGCAATGACATTTAAAATATTGGTACTGTCAGAATATTTCTGATTATAGAGGTCTACCAATCATTTTTATTGGCTGATTTATAAACAAGACTGACCAGTATAAATATTTGACTGCAAGTACCAATGTTGATTTTTTTTCATCACCGATAAAGATAAGCAAAACTGATATTTTTTGCTTTCCGACTCCATTATAAACAGCTAAATCACTGACTAGACGACAACAAAAACCTAATATGAATATTTTATCAAGAACAACAATAATGAATTGTGACAAATGAACTATCAAACGTGCAAATATTCCATCTAGTCAGTCACACAGTTTATTTGAAAGCATAAAACCTACATGCACAATAACTATAACACAATCCGAGGAGCTGATTTATAAACAAGACTGACCAGTATAAATATTTGACTGCAAGTACCAATGTTGATTTTTTTTTTCATCACCGATAAAGATAAGCAAAACTGATATTTTTTGCTTTCCGACTCCATTATAAACAGCTAAATCACTGACTAGACGACAACAAAAACCTAATATGAATATTTTATCAAGAACAACAATAATGAATTGTGACAAATGAACTATCAAACGTGCAAATATTCCATCTAGTCAGTCACACAGTTTATTTGAAAGCATAAAACCTACATGCACAATAACTATAACACAATCCGAGGTAGAGTTTAGCCACACTAGTACAGTTTAAACTGAATGGCTATTTTGTATCTTTAGAGCTAACGATTAGCATTTCACCTTTGTGATTTGAAAGCTGTATCATCAAGTCTATATAAATTCAAAAAGTTTAATTTTGCGGGTAATTTTATTCTGCCAAGTGTCAGTGGTAAAACAATAGACCTGAATGAAATAATATTCGATGCTTTTTGTATTTGATTTCAAGCAAAATGTTAATTATAATATCAACTGTCCATAATTAACACTTGTTTTGCATAATTTAACGCTATACTTAGATCCTATATTTCTATATCATTTACAGACAAGGCTGTCAATCGACCGATAACGAGCACTTTAAACTGGCAAAAAATCAGCAGATGTATCCATATTTCTTAATATTTTCTATTATTTGTAGCACTTTTTTGTGAAGTAGGCTACATGCTGAAGAACAATGAAAGCACACAAAAAGAGTGAGAATGGGTGGAGACTGGTACACTTTTCCTCTTGTGCGCCGCTGCTCGCAAACTCAAACATTTAGAACGTAAGTCGCAGCATTGTAACATTATTGTATCATTTCGTCTCACCTCTCTGAGCTGATTCAGTTCTTGTCTGACGGTCTCATATTCATTCTCCAGATCATCAAAGCGTTGTTTCAGCTGCTGGTTCTCCTCCAGCACCACGAGCCCGTACTCCGCCGCCTGGATCTTCTCCCGGCTCGTCTCGCTCAGCTCCCGCGTCAGGCGCTCGATCTCCGCGCGGAGCCAGTTGGGCCCGGCCTCCGTGACCAGCTGCGCCTCGGGACACCCGTACTCCTCCCCGGACATGTTTGCCATCATCCGGCACAGTCTAATACAGGCGATAACGGACCGAGCCCGTTACTTCCTCATTCTCAACCATGAAGTTGCTCATCAATCTGAAGTGCATGCAGTTTATTAGATGCACTATTCTTAATATAAAAGTTCAGATTCAATCTTATAAATTTATTCCCCATGATTTAACGTATAACTCCATGATTTCCTCTTGTTCGATTGTCATTCCTCAGATTGGGAACTCGGTTTGTGAGATAATCCAGACGAAGTGATTTTGTCGTTTCTGTTTTATGGATAATGTAGTTCCATTCACATATGCATGCGTTGTATTAGGGCTGGTGCTAGACTACAAGACCCATAATGCTTTGTGTTTTGTACACGAAGGCGGCAACAAGACGCACAGATGGTTCACCGACTGGATGCCAAATTCAACCCAAAATGTTGCTCAATGCTTCCATCTGCTGATGGTAATATTTCAGGTCGTGCGAACTGCGAAGTAGATGTAAGGTCCTCCAGTTTCTGAGTTTTTGATATCAGGGACTCCTTTTCTTAAATATATAGTGGATATAGTCTATGTATAAAGACCTATTTATACTTTGTGTGAAAAAAAAGTAATTAAAAAGTGTGGAAAGAATAAGTGTAATATTGTAAATAATATTATTTAAAATTGAAATAAGCATGATATATTACAAAGACAACACATTTGTTAAATTAAATAATTTATATATTAACACAGTCATTGCATTGAACCCAAAATAAATTCTTAGAATATTATCTGGAAAATATTTATTTATTTATTTATTTTTGTGTGTGTGTGTGTATATATATATATATATATATATATATATATATATATATATATACAGTGGGCTCCTGTAGAGATGCAGTCTGGGATTGTGTGAAGTCAGAACTGATTTTTGTTACAAGAGCAACAGAAAACATACATATTCAACACTGCTGCAGGAAATTAAATGCTGATGATCTTAGAGCACATTTTTGCACCACATATATTTATATAATTCTGTAGCTAAGAATTATATAAATAAATTATATAAATTATATAATATATCATTTATACATACATACATACATACATACATATATATATAAATAAGTAACTAAAAGGATCGTCATTTTCATGAGCAAAAATTTTTAGTGCATCTGTGTTTGCTATACATATGGGTTGCACAGATTTGGATGTAAAATGTAATAACATGTTTAGGGAGGGGGGGGGGGGACATTTTTATACTTTTTAAAATTTATTTTAAACTTTCTGTATAGTCCACCCTCACACCCTCATGGAGCCAGTCTGAAAACCCCTGCTCAACACCTGAAACTCAATTGTCTATCATTGTGTTTTCAGTTGACTATGCTTTATTCTGCTTTTCTGCAGTTTCCTTCCATGTTGCCACCACAATTGCATGTAAAACAGAAAGTATTTAATTAAAGAGCATTCAAACCACATTACTGGTTTTGCCCATCAATCTGAAAGTGAAATATGTTTTCTTCATGCCAACTCATCACTACTATCCGCCATGGTTAATGACTGACACACTTGAATCGAAAGAAGAAGTAGCAGAATGAGCGTTTAATGTATCCAAGGTGAACTATCATCCCAATGGTGAGTTCTTATTTAGCTTTCTCTCATACTCTCTAAGAAAGACGTAATACTGAAAGATGTCAATACTGCATATTCAGTTACTGTACAATTCTTTCTTTAGGGTGCTTTGGATGTTTACAACCATTGTAAGTTTGCCAGATCAGATTTTAAATCGAAACTGAAAGTTGTACATTATTTATTTATTTCTACTTTGTCTACAGATAAATTTTACCATTTTTTCTCCATCTGCTTTGGCCTGGGCTGTGGACTATTACTCTACAGGCCATTTTACTGTAAGTATATACTATGTATATATATATAAACCTACTATGAACAGCACTGGTTCTTCAGACTTTAGTGAAGTGAATGATGTGGCTTACTGAAACTATTATTTATGTTCATTCTTATCTGAATTGTATCCATAAAGTCTTACACATGAAAAAAAAAACACACTTTCAAAAATAGTTTGAAGTTTATTTAATGACAAAAAAAGTGTTTTTTAAGTACCTCTATACACATGACCAATCAATCTTTGAGTCAGTCACTTATCAGCATGCATGTTTTCCAGCCGTTGTGGTGCCGTCAGTTCTTGCTGTGTTCTTCACAGTCGTTTTTGAATGTGTGGGTGCATCCATTGGTAAGATGTTTGATTAAAACTTATGGTATAAAATGAATCAGAAAATACGAAAATGTCAAATGTAGCAAATATAAATGCACAACAGAGATTAGAAGCCATTAAAATGACATTTATGTTGAAAATGTATTGGAACAGGATTTGTTGAACATTGAACGTTTTTCACAGGTTTGCCAGCACATACTAAAAGATGTAAGGGTCGACCTTACCACTGGAAAGGTATATCATTTTATTGTGTTCAGACAGGTTGCCCATTCTTCCAGGCCATTTGATAAACATGAAAACTGGTTTGTTATTAAAGATCTATTTTTTTCTACAGATGCTATCTGGGGTTATTGTATGGCTTTCTTTGTGACAGTCCTCCATCTCAGGTCTTATCATGGTACAGTGTTAACCTCAACTTCCTAAGAGAGACATCACAAGGCTTCTTTGTTGCATTTCTTCTCAGCTCTTTTTTTTTTAAAGCACAAGCTGAAGCTCTTCTAGGTGGTGCTCCTCATATGTGTGGGGATATATTTCATAAATTCAGTAAATACGATACTGTTCAAAAGTTTGGGGTCAGAACTTTTTTTAATATAAAAAATTACTACTTTAGTCAAAGATGCATTAAATTGAATTAAAGTGAGTGACAGTAAAGACATCTATGATATTTCAAAAGATTTCTATTTTAAAGCAATGCTGTTCTTTTGAACTTTCTATTCATCAAAGAATCCTGAAAAAAATGTATCACAGTTTCCACAAAAATATGAAGCAGCACAACTGTTCTCAGCACTGATAATATGTTTCTTGAGCGGCAAATCAGCATATTAGTCTGTCGAGCATAAGAGACTTCTTTCAAAAACATTTAAAAAATCTTACTGACCCCAAGCTTTTGAACAGTATATACTGTATATATGATGCAATAATCCAAGTTTTCTGATTCTGTTGCAGTCTATACTCTGTCTTGTGGCTGTGGCCTCGCTGTGTTCGCTATAAGAGGAGCAATACGCAAATATAATGCTCTATGGTGAGAACTTTTTCTTGATTATATAATTAAACTGCAGGGATTCATGATGTGTGGCATTGAAGTAGATTCTTTTCTAAGGACTAGTTGTTCCTGTCTTTTAAACAGGAAGATTAGAAATGCAAGGCATTACTATGACTGAACTGAAATTAATGTTTACTAAAGGTAAGAAAGAAAAAAATTAACATTTATTTATTTATTTTTATACTGCAATTATGATCATTGTCGATGTCTTTTGCAGGTGTCCATTTATGTTCATGCACATTTCTTTTTGAAGTTTGTAAAGCGCTATTCACATACATATTGTTTCAAGGGAGCTTTATATCAAAGCAAATTGTCATGTTAATTAAATGTGATCTGATTTCATTTAGCACATTTCAGATCTGTTGCAAAAACTGTGATTTAATATTGTTTTATTATTTGTTACCTTTTGTATTTTGCGGTTTTGATTAATAGTTATTCTACTGGTTTTTCGAAGTTGTAAATGAAACAAAGAATATTAGTGTCTAGAGATTTCTCGATAAATATTTCTCAGGTCTAAAATAATAATCTCACAATTAATTCAATGCCTTTCTTTGTCATTCATTTTGAAATGTACTAGTAATTTCTGAGTGAAAATTGTTTCTACGCAATTTTTTCAGTGTATAATACATTCTATGTAAATTTTTGTAAATTCTATGTAAATATATATATATATATATAATTATTATTATTTTATTAAATGTTTTATTATTATTGTTGTTGGTACATTTTTATTCTTTTTAAAATTTCTTTTAAAGCAAATTGTCATGTTAATTAAATGTGATCTGATTTAATATTAGTGTTTAGAGATTTCTCTAAAAATATTTCTCAGGTCTAAAATAATACTTTAAAATCTCAATGAATTCAATGCCTTTCTTTGTCATTCATTTTGAAATGTACTAGTAATTTCTGAGTGAAAATTGTTTCTACACCATTTTTTCAGTGTATAATACATTCTATGTAAATGTTTTTTTTTTTTTGCTTAAAATTAAAACAATGGTTTAGTATTGTATTTCATCTTACAAACAAATGAGTTCTTCTTATTTGTTTAAATATACAACAGTTTCTCTTTACAACATACAGTGTGACAACATGCCCCAATAGTGGCAAGTATATGTTTTAAATGACCTGTTCAGTAATAATGGAAAGTGACTTTCAAAAAATAACCCACTCTGAGAAATATTCAGTAAAGTGTGTGACAACTAGCCCCGGTCTCAGAGTGAATAAAACAGGCAACACATACATGATGTCTCAAACTTAAATGCAGAGGGTTTTAATCAATGACTTGAGTTACAACGAAAAATAACAGAGGAAGTGTTTGTTGTAGGTTCATAGTTTCAGGTATAACAGCACGTTCCAGTGACGCTGATGGTTTCATCCATCTCTCTCATCTTCTCTGGCCAGAAAAGAACCATGTTTCATGCTCATAACACCACAAAATGCTACTCCATCTTTGTAAATACTGAGATTATACTACAAACAGTTTCACAGAAGACAACCATTTACTACTTTACTGAAGCACCCTGCAGACATTCTCATTTGATTATCTGTTTAAAGACTAAACTCTACGAATGTAACATCAAATCGTTTTTTTTGCACAGGTATCTGTTCCCGTCAAATCCAGCCCCGCCCGGTCGTCATAGCAACACAGTAACAATATAAAAAGTATTAAAATATAATGTCGCAAACAGTTTTATTGTTGGGTCTTATCAAATGACAGTTAAAAACACGAGTGTCACGTTGTACAGCATATCGATGTTTTCTGAGGTGATAGTGTAAATACGTTTTAGCATCGCTATAAGCTTTCAACTTTGATTTTCAAATCAACATAAAATCATACATTTGTCTTTTCATAATCTAATTAATACCAGGTGGACAAAATCAAGTCCCTGCCTATAATTTTTCATCCTGTTTCATTCAAAATATGTCACTTTATGCAAGTAAAAATGGTTGTAAATATGGTTTAATGTTGATTTTAAACTATTAGTACAAGAAAAGAGCTAGAAAAAGACTACTGTATGTGTATTTGTATGTACACTAGCGTTCAAAAGTCTGAGGTCGGTAAAATTTTTTAAATATTTTTGAAAGAAGTCTCTTCTGCTCACTAAGGCTGCATTTATTTGATCAAAAATACAGTAAAAACAGTAATATTGTGAAATATTATTACAATTTAAGTTTTTTATTTAAATATAATTTAAAATGTAGGCTACTTTATTCCTGTGAAGCAAAGC